CCCTGTCCCGTCAGATGTTTTCTAGGCACCTCGGAAAAGGAGGAAGTGAAGAGGATCCCTCTATTGGAGTCCAAAGAGACCCTTCCTTGAAGTCGAGATAAAGCTCTGCCACGCGCGAAATGCGATTTATTTGGCTTTTCACCGACCCTTCTTCACTTCCCCACCCCACAAAAGGTTAAGTACTGACCCACCCTTCTCGTTCTTATCAGAATCTTGCTTGTCTTCAAATAAGAAATTTAAACCGATGGCTTCAAGTTGGGATATTCCCTGGTACAGGGTGCAGGGAAGGGCCAAGACTGAAGTAATATGTAAGTTCTCTTCTTGTAAACATTTTTAAACTTCACAGTTTACATTTTGGATTAGCGACACCTGAAGCAACCAGAAGAGCTATGTGTGTTTTCTCTATTATAAGCAATAATTCTCCTTTTTTCCGACCTGGGACACGGTTCCACAAGCTACGAATATCCAAGTCTTTGTTTAAAAAAAAAAAAGTAATGTTTGCATTCTAAAGGAGAGCATAGGTTGGTCTCTACTTGACATTAAAGACTTTGTTTCAGCGCATACGTGGAAGATGCACCATGGAGGAGAGAGGGAGGACAGAGGGAGAGAGGGAGAGAGAGAGAGAGAGAGAGAGAGAGAGAGAGAGAGAGAGAGAGAGAGAGAGAGAGAGAGAGAGAGAGAGAGAGAGACTAGCTTTCCAAGAAGGGCAGTAGAGAAATGTTCATTCCTGAAAAGAACAGATAGACAACACCAAAGATCTCAGTTCTTAGAAACGTCCGGGAGAACCGGAGTAGGCGGGGACTGAATCATTGTCTATTGGATTTGATCTGATCCCAGGCTACTAGGATGACAGCCTCGCGACGTCACCTTTTTGACAAGGAAATGACAAATAGAATCCACATCCCTTCTCCATCAAGTAACTGATGCAGATGTTAAAAACAAACAAACAAACAAAAGAAAGATGGGGAGCAATTCGACTCGGGTTCCTTGGATTGCCGGACTTCGAGAAAGCTTGCAGATTGTTGCATGTTTTCGCTCAGAACTCACCTTAAGGTCTCCCTTTCCTTAGAGTCTAAGGTCTAAGGCTTAGACCAGGTCAACAATATCTTTATTGTGGTGGGAGAAAAGGAATGGCCTACATAGGTTTTGTAATATCTGTCTTTGGGGGAGGAAGATAGAAACTCAATTATCCTAAAAATTACATTAATGGGGGGGGGGTCGGGGCTTTGCCTAGGAGAGTCGGCCTTTGGTGTATTGGGAATCAGGCCCTTGGGTAGGAAAAAGCTGTGCTTCCCTATGGGTTGGTGGGGGGCCACACTGTTTTTCTCTGTTCCCACATGCTGGCGTCGCTCAGCTCGGTTCCATACTCCCGGGAGCTGCAGCCGAGGCAGCCTCTACTGGGCACGAAGCCGGGGAGGGCGGCGAGGGAGGCAGAGGAGAGCAGGGACACGCAGTCATTCATTAGCCGGAATGAATTGTTCGTTGTGGCCCCGAGTGGGTGAGGATGAGCCAGTGATTATATTTAAATTTGCTATAATTGATTTGGGGAAGAGCTGCAGTGACAAGAACGAATTGATCATTAAATTTATTAGCGAGATAAATTCCGCTGCGATTAAGCAGCTGGCTGGAGATACTGGAGCTGCCCGGCCTAGCCCCACGCCTTTCCCAAGACAGCCCAAACCCGAGAACTCTCAGCCCCAGTGCTCGTCCCTAATCACTGGTTTGGGCGTTCAGTTTGGGGTTTGCGGTCTGAGAATCGGATCTGGGACCTGAGTCTAGAGGTGACTCTCTTGAAAAAGAAATGTCGGCTTGCCGCCTTTCACCTCAAGAGAAATTGGTAACACTAAGGGCCGCTAGAAAATCCCTAAGGATGATATCGCAATATGTCGCTATGGTCGTGTTTGGCTAGGAGATTGAGGTGCAAGGGGGATAGCAAATGGGGGGGGGAGGTCGTGGCTTCAGCGGGGGAGTGGATCTCAAAGAAGACCAGAACTGAAAGGTCGTCCAGGCCCCAGGCAGGATATAATTAATAGTTTCTTTTCCTGATCCTGACCTCTCGCCCCACCCTATTGCTCTCCTCCCGAGGCCTGGCCACTTGCCATGTGACCACTTCCACAGGGGGAGAAGCCCTGACGGGATAGGCCTGGGTGAAAAATAGTCAGCCTCCAGATGTGATTTTCCTTCAGGCTTACCTTCATCCAGTACTAGAAAATTTAAAATTATATGTGGGTTTGAGTGCACACACGAACAGTATATCGTTGGGCTGTGGGTTTGTTTGTTTGTTTATTTTTTTCCCGGGGAGTGAGTGGAGGTGACTGGGGAACTCCAGCTAAAAACTTAGGAAGTCCTCTCTCTGAGCGTTTGTTGTGGCACTTCTTTCTCTCCTAGGAATTGCTGCGCTGAGTAAGTCCTCCAGCAGCCTTGTAGCTAGCTGCCAGCTTGAGATCAGTGCAACTGCTGGAGCCCTTATTACCTCAAATCACCTGCTGGAGCCCTTATTACCTCAAATCACCTTTGGACCCTGAGGCCAATGTAATAGTTCTTTCTTCCCCCACCTTTTCTCCCATCTCTCTCCCCAAACCTCTCCCCTCCTCTATCCTCCCTAGATTTGGTTGCGATTGGTTTTCTGGAAGGAGCTCGGGGTGATAATGAGCTGCCACAGAGGATATTAATCTCGCCCCAACCCTATAGGTAGACGAGCCGTTGGGCTGGCCTAGGCTGTAATCACCCAGATGAAATACCAGACCCTTCTGAACTCATTTATCAACTGGGAGGAGGCAGGGCGGTGGCAGCTGGTGGACACCCAAGTGCTTATAAAGAAAAAAGAAGAAAAGGCACCTCTATTTTCTCCTCTCCCTTCTCCTAGAGATTGTTGAAGAGGCAGACATTTTCATACTGCCAAAAAAAGAGCAGAACCACAGAATGTTAAAGCTGGAAGAGAACTCAAAAGTTCACCTAAGGTCCAATCCACTTATTTAAAAAAACAACCAGCTGAGGAAACAGAGCCCCAGATTGGGTCAGAGACTTGTCCAGGGACCCAGGGCCAGTAAACAGCAGATCTGACTCAAGAGTTCTGAGATCTTTCCATTAGGCCTCTTTCTCCCATGTAGAGTGGAGAAAGCTGGAAGGACCCCTTTCACCCGTCTCAGTTCAGTGCTCTGGTCCTACTCCCAGCACTAGGTGGGGATCCCAGTCTGGCACTGGTTTGTGGCAGTAGGTTGGATGGGGAACCGCTGCAGCAGCAACCACAGGCTTTTTGATCCAGGGTCTCTGTCCTCCATGTGCATAGCACATGGCCAACCGCCCTTCTGCAGCCCCTGTGTGATTGATGAGACACATTGCAGAGGTTTATTAATCCAAAGCCATTGCAGTTCCAGTGTGAAACGTTTCTGCAGTTTGACTGGCTCTCCTCACATTTGTTCGCCTGCAAATTTGCACAGATCTGAGAGTGAGCTATTACCAGCTAGGCAAAGGGAAGAGAGGAAAAGGTGCAAAGGGGTAGGAAGAATCTTTTAAACATTAAAAACTTAATAGAGGATAATTGAATTCAGAAAAACAGGAAAGGGATAAAAAAATCCATCTAAAATAACACCAACATCTATTTTAAGTGACTTTAAAATAATTTTGAAAAACTCAGAGGACTAGAGAAACACTCACATAAATATAATTTAAAAAAAGATAAAGATTACTAAAGTGTGAGGAGGGGATGGTCATTCTGGTCCATGCTGGCTTCTCCAGATCAGTTAAGTATCATCTAGCTGCACAGCACTAAATTGCTCACTTCCCTTTAGGAAAGGTAACCAAGGTAGGTGGGTACCTAAGCCAGTGCCGAAGGATTTCCTCTGATGCAGAATTTAGCTCTGGGATGTATCGCTAAGCACTCGTCTTAGTTTGCAATTCTGATTTCACCCACCCTTTTCTCACCCTCACTCACCAGTTCAATACACAAAAGAACACAATAGAGGCCAAAGTTGTGACCCTTCTTCTTATGTTCATTTCAAGCCCAGATAAAATAGCAAAACTTTTGTTGTGGTTTTATCTTTTTTTCTCTAGGGAAGGTTTGTAACCTGGGTCACAGAGTTTTTAAAAAATATCTTGATGACTTCCTGAATATTTGGTTTCCTTTGTAATAATATGTATTTTAATGCTCATTTTGTAAAATTTAAATTGTATTTATTAAACTATTGATTATTTATTAAATTTTATGATTTTATTTAAAATGTTATTCTGAGAGGGGGTCCTATGGCACAACGGATGGCCAGAGGGATCCATGACACAAAAAAGCTGAGCCCCTGGCCTATCGTCTAACACTGGGCTGGGAAGATAAGAAGTGCTTAATAAGTGTTTGTTAAACTGAATTGGATCACATTCTTTTTTTTTTTTAATACAGGTTTACACTCAAATCTAGTATAAAACCAATTTATTTTACATTCCATCACGGATGATGGGAGAAGCTAAATAATAATTTAGCATGCATAAGTAGAGGTATCTTTTTTTATAAATACAATATACAAAAATAAAGACAGTACAGTCTTGAGATTTCCAGCAGTTTGAACGTTCATGACATAAAGTTTTTTTTCATGACACATAATAAGCACAGAACATTTTTTCAATACTCAGCAAAAGAACAGCGTTCTGCGGTTCAAGTTTTAAATGTCACTTAACACTGTGTGGCAAGTTTTCTCTACTTGGTGGGGAGATGGGAAGGTCTCCCATGTATTAGGGGATCCCTTACAACATCTCACTCCCACCCCCCACTTACTGAACCACCACAACAAAATTAAATATAAACCAAAGAAAAAAAGATTCAAGTTTGAACATTCCCCTGGATTTCCTCCTTTCGTTCAACAGCAGCCGAAGCTCTGTAGCCAAAAACGACCAAAATTCCCAGGATTTTAGGTCCTGGGGGGGCATAATGGGGTGGAGTCCCCAGATTTTCATCCATTCATCAATGACAGCAGCTGGATTTACCAATCCCCCTGCAAGCCAACTCTGGGCTGCAATCCCCTGGGAAACCTCGGGGGAGGCAAGGAGATAGAAAACAGAGATGAGAACTGGGGAGAAGGGATGAGGCAGTCCAGGAAAGAATGATCTCCCCCCTCCCCCACAAACACACACACTCCACTGTCTTCTCCTGGTCAGAGAAATCGGGGTTGCAGGTTGCTGAATTCGAGGATCTGTGTCGGCTTCCCAAGTCCTGGATGTGACCAGGTCCAACTGAACGTGGAGGACGCTCTGTTGGACAGGGGAGTTGGGAGGGTGAGGTCACACCCCATCTCCTGCCTCCCCACCGCAGCAGGCTTCATGGGCTCTTCATTGGGACGGAGGCTGATGCCCGGGTCCCGAGGGTCTTGTGTGCGGAGAGTCATCCTCAGAGGAGCAATCGGAGGAGTGGGCAGCGTTATTGTTCTTGTAGGAGAAATGCCCTTCCTCCTCCTCCTCCTCGTCCTCTTCCTCCTCTGGGTCACTGTCCCTCAAGTCCCGCAGGCGGCGGCTGCTGCTCTTGTCTGAAGGAAGCAGCAGGTCCTCCTCTCCCTTTTCCTCCCCTCCTCCACCTTTCCCCGCCCCTCCCTTCTGCTTCTCTGCCTCCTGTGCCGCCTGTTCCTTAGCTTTTTTGCTCCGTTTCCATTTCATCCTCCGGTTCTGGAACCAGATTTTCACCTGAAGCATGGAAACAGAAGGTCGCGAGGTTAGCAGGGCCACTTTGGGCTCTTCCTACCCCTTCCTTTCTTGGAAAGCTTCCTTCCCAGGCAATTGAGGGTTTGCAGCTGTAGCTTTAACTTTCTTACCAACAGCGAATGTGCATTCTCAGGGCTCCCTTGCTAATAGCTAGAACCAGATCCAGGTACTCTCTTTCTTTCACCCCACCCCCCCACCCCGTTTCACTGAAAACTTGACCCTGGACAAACTAACTACCTTCCTTCCACCTGCCACCTGCATTGTGACGACTTTGGCCCTCAAGCTTTCCCTTTCCCTTCATTACTTTCCTCCCCACCTCCCCATCATCAGCCGTTGTGTTAGAACATCTCAAGTCTTGGAGAGCTTCTTTCTTTTCTTCACTCCCACCTGTCCCCAAAGGAGAAAGCAAATTCCAGAGCAGCACAACTAGAGAGAGGCCAGATAACTAAGTAGTTTAGGAGGAAGGGACCTACACACAAGGGAGTGGGAGAGTAACGGAGCCAGATGTGCTGAGATGAGTATACCTGTAGTTCAAGGCGACAGCCGGAAAGGAAGCGCCTTCTCTCTGAGAAAGCAAAAGCAAGGGCTTTTCAACATGCTAGGGATCCCTGCAGTGGAGGATGGTCTGCAGTGGGAGGGGGGGAGGGGACCCAGGGACCTCCGCGGTGAGGTAGAATGAGGGTCATCGAAGAGAGAAAATCCCAAGTGGCTACCTGGGTCTCGGTGAGCATCAGCGACGTGGCCACCTCGAAGCGCTTGGGACGGGAGAGGTATTTGTTGAGCTTGAATTGGTGTTCCAGTTCCAGCAGCTGCTGGCTGGTGAAGGCAGTTCGGGGCCGCCGGCATTTCCCCAGAAGGTTGGACTGGGCCTGGGCTATAAAGAACAAGGTATAGAGAGGCAGGGGGAGAATCAATAAAAGAGGGAATTGATAAGGGGTCTTCTAGATTCCTTCCTTTCCCCGCAATAAATATTCAGATAAGTCCAGTGCCTTCCAATGGAGGCTTCAGACCACAAAGCTGCCTAGACCCTCTTCTCAATTTCCACTCCTTGCTCTCACTCTTTACCTATTCTCCAAGGACCTGAAGTTATTTCCTGCTAGCAGCTCGAAGCCATCGGGATTTAAGGCCGAGACTTAAAAAAAAAAAGTGGAACCAGGATTGTTTTTTTTAATTGTGCCAAATCTTTAGTCATATTTCTCTGTGCCTAGAGTTCTGACATCTTGCAGGTGGCTTTGGGAGAAGAATACCCCGAGAAGGGCCAGAAGGGAGATACAGAAACAAGTCCCTCCCTGATTTTCCCTCTCGTCTACTCACACATATATACATCCTTTCTTACTCCATTGGGCAAAAACCCAGAAGGTGGAAAATTCAGCCAGTTGGGGGACACAACTCTGCCTCCTTCCCAAATCTACCCCTGGGCTCTATACTACCAGGTTACATTCGTGGTCTTTTCCCCAGCGAAAATAAAATCCACTTCCCGCTCTGAGTATTAAAGGGGTGTATGGGCCCGGGAAGGGAGGAGGTGCAAAGAAAGGCCTTTTCTGTTGAGCTCTCATTACGCAAATTAAAGACCCAACCTGTCTGTGCTGGCAGGGCTTAACTGGCTATTTGAAACAGCGGTTTTATTTACATAATTTCGCACGGTTACATCACAGGGAATTTTATGACCTCAAAATGAGACTCCCCTTGATTTCCCAGGAGCCCGACAAGTGGTAGACAATAAAAGAAAGGGGGGAAAAGAAAGGAAAGAAAAGAAAAAGGACTGGGGATCGGGGTGGGATGAGCTCAGTCTCCCTTGGGAGTGACAATTTGCTTTATTTAAAAAAGGTCCACGCCCCCCGCTTTAGTTACACAAGGCTCCGAATTCCCAACTTGACAATACATTAGAACTTTAATTAAAACGGAGGCTCCGAGGGGACCACTTGAGAAATTGCAATGGAGTGGGGGGGATGAGAAAAGCTACTTAGGGTAAACGAAACAAGTTTCCAACAGCCGAAGAGGGAGATGTCTTTTGGAATCAGTTTCAATCCCTTTACTAGCTTTCATGATTGTATCTGAATTGTGTTTTCTGACCATAAAGTGGGAGGGCGCTTTTGTTTTTAGATTTAATTTAGATCATTAGGGATCAAGGATGCAGGAAGCGAAGGAGTGTTGGAGAATCCACTCTGGAAAGAAAAAAACTCCAGACAGGTTTGGGGGAGATAGTTGTACCCTAACCAATTTGGGGAGAAACTACCTGGTTAGTAGATTTACCTCTCATTATATAGATTTTAATGAAAATTCCAGGGCTTCCTCAGGGTCGAAAGTTTCTGACCTTAGTGGTTCTGTAAGAAAGATATCAATCCTCACCACGACCACCATCACCCCAACCACAATAATTAAGTATCTCCAATGTAGGAAAACGCAGGTATAAATGGGAAACGTATGTAGGGAAAAGGGCAACATGGTGGGTTTGTTGTTTTTTTTTTTTTAATGATGTACAAATAAAAAAGGTTTTGTGCCAAGAATTTGGGCAAAACTCAGAGATATCTGAAGGTTGCTGCCCCCAACATAACTGACTTTTCTCTTCCATTTCTTGGAATGCACTGTCTCTTCTTTTGCTTTTGCAAACAAAAAACAGCCGCCGCCACCTCAAAAGAACAAAAATCTTCGAATTATGCAGGAAAAAGTGGTAGGAGAGAGAAAGCGGTTTTATTACCTCATTTGGAGCTAACCTGTTAAAAGGGCCAAGGGGAAAAGGGACTAGTGTCCGGTGGACAAATAGTAACCCAGTTGGGATTTTCTCACTGTCCTGTGATTTTTCCCCCAGTCTCCATTATCACTACCCTTCTCAGTTCAGTTACAATCAAGCTTCCCTGAAAAGGAGGCAGAATTCTGGCACGTTTTTCTTTTCTAGGTTTTTTTTTTTTTTTCTCTTTTCCTCAGGTCTGCATCTCCCTAGCCTAAACAAACCCATACAGACGAAAACAATGGGTCCTTTTTGTTTAGGCGTACGACCGCAGGAAAAAAAAAAGTAAATACGTATACACCTTCCTATCCTTCTGGCAGGGGGCTAAGTAAACCTACACCCTAGTGGATTGAAGGCTTTGCCATCTCCACCAGAAAACTAGCATCTGGCCTAGGGATCTGCAGGGTGATTTAAGAATCTATCCAGCCCAGCTTCTCGGCCTAGAAGGGGGAGACGCCGGCGCCTGGCGGCTCGAGGTTCGAGCAGGTTGGTGTCTAGGACTGGGACCTTCACTATTGCCCAAGTCTCTCAATATCTAACTCTGGTCAGTTCGCTCACACCCTGGGGTTCTCACTCGAAGCTGGTATAGGCTGCTCGAATTGTTTTCGTATCGGATCTCGGTGAGGCAGGGAAAGTATGGTCTCCACTCGAGAAATTATTTCCGGTCCAGTCAGACAAAAGTAACTCTCGCCTTCAACCATCTCCCTCCCCTCCAAAACACCTAAGAACTAGACTGGCATCTGCAGAATTAATTCAAAGCTAAGAGTCCCTGCAGTACCTGGAAAACGTGTAGGCCCTGTTGGTCCTTCAGGGCCTGAGATCCCACGGCTGAGGGGCTTCCTCCATAAAAGCCCGTTTGCACCATAGGGGCCCACTTCCCCAAGGAAACATTCTTATTAATGGATACCAGTCCACACAGCGGGATATGATTCTTAACGTGTTTCGGGTTGCTTCCCTACTCCTCATAGTTAATCATTACAGACTTGAGTCTCACCTCCTTTTTTCACTTTCCACGGAAAAAAACCAACCAACCAACAAGAAAGAGGACAAGAAAAAGAAAAGGTTGCCATTTTAATAATTTGGTTTTGAATACTCACTGAGTATCTATAACCTGGGTACGAATTATCATAGGCCCCACGAACCCCAGATTCTTTCATTCTCTGTCTCTCTGGAATCGCGTAAAGGGTAAATACGCTCATAGTCAAACCTCAATTTCTCCCCTCACCCCCAAGCTCTGTTTTGTTTTTTTTTTTCCCCACCTGCTTCCCATCTCTAGTCCTCCCCCTCCCTACCCGGCCTGTGCCATTGTACCGTTCACTCTCGGATACTCACAGTTAAAATCGGGCATTTTGGGCAAGATCATGCCCGCGGTGGACGCCCTGAGCCATTGGTCGAGCTGGAAGGTGCCGGCGCTGAGTTTGATGGGGTCTGCAGGGTGGGTGGGGTGGGCCCCTTGCACCTGGGAGTAGGAATAAGACAGAGCCGGGTGCTGGCCGGCCAGCGCTGCCGCCGAGTAGCTGTACATGGGATGACCGTACAGAGCCGCTTGGGTGGGGATCCCCGCTCCACCCTGCGCTGGGTGCAACCCTAGGGCCATCCCTCCGGCTGCGGCCGCTGCAGCCGCTGCAGCGGCCGCACCAGGGTGGTGGTGGTGATGGCCAGCGGCGCCGCTGCCGCTGCTCAGGAAACCTGGCTTGGGCACCAGCCCGCAGTGGGCTGCGAGGATCCGAGGCGGGGACGGGCTCTCCGTCCTCAGGCAGTCCGAGCCGCCAGTGTGGTGCTCCGAGGAAGGGGGGCTGCAGCTGCTGCTGCTGCTACTGCTGCCGCCGCCGCTGCTGCTCCCCCCGCTGCTGCTGCTGTTGCCAGATGTGGCCGCCGAGGCGGAAAGAGACGTGACCAGAGCCAGAGGAGAAGTCTGCGCCGAGGCAGCTTTCGGTGGGTCGACTGCTAGAAGAGCATCGATCCGGAAATTTTTGGATTTTTCCATCAGTTCTTTTTGGATATATATGTTTTGCAATCTTTCGAAGCGTTTGGGTTTTTTTCTTTGTTTTGTTTTGCCTCTTTTTTTTTTTTAAGTGGTGGTGACGGCGCTGGGATAACCTTATTCTTACGGTGATAGTGAAAATCTCTCGATTTTTCTAATAAGAAAATAAACTATTGGAAAATCAGACCGAAGTGACCATCGTCCAGGACACCCCTGCCTCCCTCCCACTCCAGGACGCTGCACGCCCAGACACACAACTTGCCCAACCCCCGAGGACACAAATTCTTCTGCACCTGGTCCGTCCGAGAGAGCCAAGAGTCTTTTCGATCAACCCCCTCAAGTAACCACCGCAAAATGTCGCTCCCGCGATAGTAAGAACCCAGGCTCCCAACTCTTCCCACTTGTAGGCTCAGCTCGGTCGCTCATTGGCAGCCCAGGAAGAGACGAAACCCTTGGGGGTGGTGGTGCTGTGGTCCTGCCCCCGGGATTGGCCAGGCAAAACACCTGTCAATGTCTCTAGTGGCCAGGTCCCACCCTCATCTCCTCCCTCTCCTTTGGCCCTTTCCTCCGACTCACTCTCTGCCCCACCCCCCGGCCAGGTTAAAGGGAAAGGCTCTCTCTGATCCGTCCTAAGAGATTTCCTTAATCGAATGCTGGGAAGGGGGTAGAGGGAGAGAGTTAATAACAGAAAGAAAAGAAAATGAGCAGAAAAGCTTCCGAATGCAGCCGACTGGTTTCCACTCCAGCCTTTGCGGTGAGAAGGTTTTGGAAGTGACGGTTGTGCATGTTTGGACTCCGTTCATAGATCTGAAGTTGGAAGGACTTTGGAAATCATAAAGTCCAAATCCTTCATTTTTCACCCGAGGAAACTGAGGCCCAGAGAGATGAAGTCACTTGTCCAAGGTCACACAGCTAATAAGTAGCAGAGTCGAGATTCGGACCTGAGTTCTCTGAAGGTGTGGTGAGCCAAAAGTTTAGTAATCAAATCTCGGAGCATCAAACCCAGCAGGGTGCCCCAAGTTAGTCGGGTCTTTTTAATATTAGGGTCCTGCAGGAGGTTGGTTTAAACAGTGAGCAGATTGAAAATTATTATTATGCGTATATACACCCAACGCATGTACTATGTGAACACACACACAGTGGCCACCCAGATAAGGTGTTTCCTTAAAGAGACAGAAAAACTGGACCTCTTTTTGGTGGCCATAAGGTAGGTTAGTTCGGTGTTTTCTCTCTCGGCCCCTCTTCTCACCCACCCCCACCTTCGCCCTTGTTCCTAGTCAAAGACTAGGGCATGCAATTTTTCTTCAAACTCGAAATCACACCGTTCTGTTAAGAAATTATATTGCTAAAGCATAAAGCCCTGTTAATTAATTTTAGGGGCAAGGGGTGGGAGCAGAATGTCTTCTTCGTTCATGGATCCAGCCCCTTTGCGGATTAAATAATTTCCTCTTGGGAGTTTTATAAATAATAAGAATTATTTTATCTTTAGCATCTTACTTCCTTCACCCCAGTAGTTTCGTGATGCGGCGTTCCCCCCCCCATTTTTTCACAAGCGACTTCGCCACCCGCCGATCCCCATTTTTGCGGTGCCTGGAAAAGCTAACCTCAATTGAAAGGCTTTCAACAACACTGCCCTGTGGTTTTTCACTTCCCCAGTGCAGAATACGTAGAAACAGATGGGAAGACAGAATTCTGTTTTCTATGGAGCCCGAACTCTTCCTCTTTGCATGAAAGATGTTGGGGGAGGAGGGGTTAAGGGAGAAGGTTCCCACATCTAATCATATACCTATAGTTCTGCAAGGGCGGGTTTGGGAGTTGCAGGGATAGTGGATGCTGATGTTAAAAGAGCCATTCTCTAGAAGCTCTAGAAGGTGAGAAGGGTGAGGTGAGTGGCTTGGGAGACTTCGCTCTAGAATAAGCTAACCTATCACTGTTAGGGGCTCTTCCCACGTCTCTCCTCACCTCCCCACCCCCCATATTTGGTGCTCGAGAAAAAAGTTCCCTTTCTGCCTCGGCTGCCTGCAGGGTTTGGGTTAGAACTGTACAAGTAATTGGGTTAGATTCCAGTTTTCAACCATGCCTCGGCACTTCAAATATTTACAGTAAATGCACTTCCAAGCACTTTTTAAGGAGCACGAAAGAATCAACACCTGTAGGTCAAAGAGTCAAGTCTGCCACCAAAAATAAGGCGTAGTCAAGAGTGTTATTAGATTCACTTATCTTACCCAAACAGGCACACACAGAGAACTGAGAGAAAGAGGTCCAGGTTTTACAAAGTCACAGTTTCCTGTGTAGGTGCAAGGAGGGCATGTAGAAGCATGGAGTGGGTGGGGGAAGGAAAGGGAATGTTGAGGGGAAAATGGGTGGGGAGGAAATTTTTTAATGAACAGAAGAGGATCTATAGGTATATCACAGCATGACAGCTGTTTGTTTTTAAGTGAAGATAGGGACTGCACCGTCTCTCTTCAGAAGACTTCACCTGGATCACATTTGATTAGAGCGTTTCTCTGTCCCTATGTGAGATAGATTTCTCTTAATATCAGACAAATTATTTCTTAGGGCAAAATACTGTGGGTTTTGTTTTGTTTTGTTTTGTTTTGTTTTGTTTTTTTGAGGAGGGTGGGGTTGTGATCATCTAAATAACAAGATGACCTAGATTTTGCATAGTGTTTAAATTTCTCCAGGGATCATGATCAAAGTACCATCCCACCCGGAGGAAGAGAAGGCTAGGTAGCTTGGTGTAGTGAGAAGAATCCTGGATTTAAAGGCCTGAATCCTAATTCTAATAGTTTGTTAATCTCCTGTTTAACACTTATATAGCACTCACATATATGATCTCATTTGATCCCTACAATAGCACTTGGTAGGCAGTACAAGTATTATCCCTCCCATTTTAAAGATGAGAAAACTTATGTTAATATACATATATGTATGTATATTATGTGGCTGAACCTAGATTCTCTATCTCTGCATTCTGTCCCTTAGAGAAGCCCTTGAATAAGTTTAGGCTTTGACCCTTAACTCCCTGTATGGAATTGGGCTCAACACTTCAACTATCTGGGCCTCACTTTCCTCATCTATAAAATGGTCTAAGGACTCCTTTTACTCTTGAAGACTGAGGAGATGAAAGAGCTTTTGTTTATGTAGGCTATATCTCTCAATATTTACCATATTAGAAATTAAAACTTATATTTTAAAATAACAATAACAAACCCATTACATGTTAATATATATAACATAACTATGAAAAATAAACATGTTATAAAACTAAAAAATCAAGGGAGAAGAGTGACATTGTTTCACAAATTTTTGCAAATGCTTTTTAATATTTGACTTAATGGAAACCAGCTGAATTCTCATATCTGCTTCCACATTCAACCAGTTGCAATGTGTCATTTTGGTTAAAGTAGAGGAAGAAAAATCTGGCTTCAAGCAGATACATAGTTGGAAAAGGGAGGAGTACTTTAATGGGTAAATGATATCTTAGTATTTATTATGAAAATCTTTTTGACTTCTCAGGCCCCCTGAAAGAGTCTCAGGGACTCCTCCAGGTCCTCAAACCACACTTTGAGAGCCTTCTGATTGGATGATCTCTTTCTAGGTCTAATATTCTGAGCTCAGATGAGCCCTGAGATCACACAGAATCTCAGGGTTGGAGGGGCACTCAGATGCCATAAAGCCCAACTCAAGACAGAATAAGAATCCAGGAGAGACATATCCAAAAAGGAGCTGTCCAGTCTTTTCTTGAAGACCTCTAGGGAGTGAAGAATCACTCACTATCCTCTTACAAGACCATGCCATTTTTGCATCATTCTAATTGTTAAGCCTTTCACCTCCTTATTCCTAGCAGCTATGTTTCTTTTAATGCAGCACAAGATCAGCTCTTTTGCCTGCCATATCCACATTGTTGATTCATGTTGAACCTGTGGTCCCCTGAAGTCCCCAGCTCTTTTTCAGATGAACTGTTCGCCATCTAACTAGCCATCCTCCGTTTTATATCTGTGAAGCTGATTTTTCCCCCTATTGCCTTACTCTTTTATATAGTTATAGTTATGCTTCTAGCTTTATTTCTTCTTTTTATTGCCCACTTTGCAATGAGATTATGTTCAGGGAAGGCCTGTAATCACCAGGTACTTTTCTGGGCAGGAGATCAATGAAGTAACTAGAAACTGTGTTTCTTCCTGCTTCCACTGTGTCTTGGCCACAGGTTGATTTTTTTGAGTTGTGAAACAGAGATTTGGCCAGTTGTGAGTTCAATTGTCCATACTTTTCAGGGTACATGGGAGTTGGGAGAGCTGTATTGGCTGAGAAGGAGAGTCCCATTTGAGTCATCTCTGGGAAACATTCTGTTTTCTCCTCAACAAAATGGCCACAGGCATGACTTGCATCAAGATGTCCTAAAAGTTCTGTGTTTTCCCAATTGTCTTATTCCAGCTTTAACTGGCTCAGCATTACAACTAGACAGCAGCGGATATGAGTATTAGTGTCTTCAGATGTGTGTGGGATCCCAAGTGTAGGTATATCTAGTTGTATGGATGTGCGTACAAATCTAGACCTGCTCCTTTGCACATGTGAGGCAGTGGTATTGTGGACAGAGCACTAAACCTGTAGCCAGAAGACTTGGGTTCCATTTCCATCTATGTCACTGGACTAGAGCTGTGGGACATTGGATAAGTCATTTCATTGCTCCAGGCCTCATTTTCTTCAACTGTAAACTTGTGGCATTGGATTAGATGATCTCTCTCTAAAATATTCCCCCTCTCAGTTCTAAATATAATTCTGTGATTTTATGTGAATAAGAAGAGTGAGGGGTTGCATGATAGAATTTACATACTGTAGGGTTATTCTATATAGTATGTAGTAGTGTAGGAGGTACACATCTTCATGTGCATGTCTGATTGTGTAAACCTGGAGATTGGAGGGGGAGAAAGCTCTTTGTACATTTAAACCTTTCCAAAGCTGGAGGTGGAGAAGGCCTTCTCCCCCAGGTAAATACTCAGGTA